GAAATAAAAAAAATAAAAAGTTTTCTTTACTGAAGAAAAAAAAAAATCTTTGTAATTCAACTCTGTGTGGCTGTCTTTCCTCCATGGAACACATTAGGTCACTACTGACTTTCACTACATTTTTCTTTCATCCAATAAAAGGTGCATGGTGACTGAGGCGGTTATTCGGAGGCTATTACGTCTCCTTTTTGGGTTCGCAAACAAAAAGTAATACAGACGTCGAACAACACAATGCCGACTAAATGATAACACAGATTTTGGTGAACTGTCCCTTTAAGGGCAAGGCTGCAAAATGAGTGAAATATGGTTAACATGGTTTACATGGAAGAAACTTACAGGGACTGACGTCTCTATATCTATTCCTATTGCGATTTTCTGGGAACTTTGCCACTTTGTAGGGACACTCCTGAGACTGGTTACGAATTTCCTAGAAACGGATTACAAAATAACAAACATCAGTGTGAAAACCCTTAGAGCATCCCTTACAAAAAAACACTCTCATACATATTACATGACCTGTAAGACCTGTATGTAAACTTTTCTTTATATTTTTTAAATGGCAAAAGAAGGAGGGAGTGTTATTCAAATATAAATAAAGGACATAGAATATATCCAGGCAACTAAGGGGGGTTGTACATGTAGGACTATCCGGCTGAGTTCTAGAGAACTGACAGCTTCGGTTCTTCAGTTCTTGGGAAGTGCTCGTCAGTTCTCAGAAACCGTATCAGTGCATGGCTGTGTGTCAAAACCTAGCGAGCTCCCTAGCTCCCTGGCATTTTTGAGTATCATAAGTGCACGCCGGGGGGTTAAAAGGCGGCAGAAATCAGATGGCATTTAGGGTGATAGGACTTAGAACGCATATGGTGGCAAAAAAAAAACCTAACATGGAACCGTGATGTCTTGAAATGCTGTCTAGGTAGACCGCTCACAAGGTATTGACACACAGCCCATGTGTTCACAGGAAGCTGCTCTAATGCACCGCACTGTGACATGACCACTCATGCACTTCACATTGCTTGCCTTTACTCAGTGTAAACAAGTTATTCTAACACATGACCATTCGCTGAATGGTTTTATTCGTTTTTCTTGTTGACAAGAGTTTAAAATAACAAACCGACTCAGTTCAAAATGGTTGTAAAACCATTTCCACTCACGTGCAGGTTTACCGAGCTGAAATGACTCACAATGGAACATTATTTCAGATGCGGGCAGTAAATTCATGTGGACCGTATTTCTCGGTATTACGCGCATGCGCTGTAACGCTAAGTTGAATTACCCAGTCGTTCTCACGGCCCGAGTCCTCGCACAGGACTATTAGATAAACATTACAAATCTATCAGGGTACAATGCAGCAGGTGTCCCAGGCGTTCACCCTAAGAACGGCTCATATTTAATCATTCAGAAAAAACAGTAGGACTTACATTATAAAGGTTTTGCCACTGTCCAGATGAATCGATGTTCTCAAACTCCTGATCCATTTTCTTCCGAAGCGGGGTTATTCAAATGGGAATTGGTTGAATCAAATGTCGTCTGAGCTCAAACGAGGGGTCACTATTCCATTGTTAAAAATTGTCATGATCCCGTGAAAACGGCAAGAGGAACGGTGCGGTGCGATGTTAGCCCTCATCAAAGAAGGACACAATTACCAGCACTTTCAGACCCCCATCGGCTACTTCCGTGTGCCCGTGGAGAGCGAGAACCGGCGCCCTCTGCCGACACGAGTCCACATGGCTTCCTTGATTGCTTCCAGGTAGTGGTGGAGATTCATTCAAGTGACTCGAATCTTTTGAATCATTTCACCAAAAAGATTTATTCACTGACTCTGGTTAAAGGGGTCCTATTATGCTCTTTTACAAAGTCTTGATTTTGTTTTGGGGGTGTACTAGAACAGGTTCTCATACTAGGTTGTTCGAAAAACACATTATTTTTCACATATTTTACATGATTACAACACCTCTCTCCCCAGTCTGGCATGGACGGCTGGAATAGTTCCTGTATCAAATGAAGGCCCGCCTTCTGAAATACGAAATGTGCTGTGATTGGTTAGCTGGGCCAGTGTGTGTTGTGATTGGCAGCACTCGGCGCCTGGTCGGGAAATGTCACACCTCATGCAAGCTTCAGTGTAAATATTGCGTCAAAAACAAATCAATTTGAGCGCAATTTAAACCTGGATAATTGTGACCACTCTAAGTTCATCTGCCTTGGGAAAGCTAGCGTGTCTCCGACATAGTGATAACACTCGTTGCCTTCTCTAGTGCAGCTTAACCAGGTCTCATCCCATTCGTCGATATTTGTGACATCACAAATCCCGGAAAATATGCGTTGTAGTCCAAACGAGTCGTTCGTTGTAGTTTTTGAAAAGTGATTTCTGTTAAATAAAATATCTCCTTTTGAAGTGAACTTTGAGCTTTGTAACTTGTAATCTTTTTTATGCTCAAACAGCAACTTTACAGACTAACTAAAGTTGAAAAAGTGAAAAAGCATAATAGGACCCCTTCAAGGTTACATCGTCATGCAAACTGATGTTGGCTGCACTGTCCTAAATGGCACACTTCATGTGCACATTCGGTCTTGAGGACTTACAATGGCCGCTGCGTGCGCGTGTCCGTTAAGTCCAGGGTGTCCCGTTTGTCATTTTAGCTTTCAGGCATTTTAGCTTTCAGGTGCCTGCGAGCTACGCAGCCGACTTCTACCCGGCAGTCAAAGCGGCATTATGTCACGAAAGTGCGGACTCAGAGGAATGCCCTGTCCAATGCTTTGTCTAAATACCCGCACTTGCGGTCTTTGTACTTGACCACTTGACTACTTATATGCAGTGTTGGGGAAAGTTACTTTTAAAAGTAATGCATTACAATATTGCGTTACTCCATAAAAAAAGTAACTAATTACGTTACTTAGTTACTTTTTATGGAAAGTAATGCGTTGCGTTACTTTTTAAATCTGGACAGGGCTTGCTTGTTTGTTTTTAAAATAAAAAAGTTATATTTTTGTCAAATATAAAAGCCTTCTCACACCAAAAGTGAAATGAATAAGCCTCAGGCTGAAAGACCACAAGTGTGTGTAGAACTTTTAGGGACACACTTAATTGTAAAAGTGCAAGTGTTTACAGAGCTTTATACTCTGCATTTTAAAATCAACTTCTAAATGTCTGTTCAGTAGTCCCTATAACAGATGACACAATTTAATTTTGTGGTGCTTATAATTAAGTGATAAAAAGCAGTTGCAAATGTTGTACAAAATAATTATCACCACTACTCATTTGCACCGATAAAATGTGCAACTCTTTGTTTTAGTACCAAATTATATGTAATATCTAATTATTAAGTGGCCAAGACCACAAGGTATTTGGACAAGGCAAACAGTTTAACCTGCCTTCAAATTTTCAACCTGCCACAGGCACAGATGACAGAGTTTTACTCAGCTGTAATTGAGTCGGTTCTGTGCTCTTCTATAACTGTCTGGTTTGGGTCAGCCAGCAAATCAGATAGCTAAGAAGACTGCAACGGAAGACAGCTGAAAGGATAATTGGTGTGTACCTGCCCAACCTTCAGGACTTGTACAACTCCAGAGTGAAGAAACGGGCAGGCAACATCATCACATATACCCCCTCTCATCCTGGCCACAACCTGCTTGCACTTCTCCCCTCAGGCAGACGTTAGATATCTCTGTGCACTAGAACATCTAGGCATAAAAACAGTTTTCCCCCCATACCATCTCCATCTTAAACAGCCAGAGGCAGACAAAGTACTCAGCTCCATTACTTGAGTGAAAGTACAGATACTGCTGGTCAAATATTACTCCATTACAAGTAAAAGTTGTAAAGACATATTTTTACTTAAGTAAAAGTACAGAAGTACTTGCTTTTAAAAGTACTTAAGTACCAAAAGTAAATTTCCTTTTTTATGTCAATGCACTGTTTTATTGTTGTACGTAGTACTTGCAATACTTCTGAAGCAACTTAGAATACATTACACCTGCTGAATACACTGACTAGCTTGTAGTATATTTGGAATAAAGAGCTTTTAGAATGTTAAAAACCTATGGGGAAAACAACAAAACAAAAAAAGTTATTGAACACCCCTACCCACCCCCACAAAAGCGGGATGGTAGTGATCTCACACAGCTCTGACAGTGTGCGCACACATCTATGTGTAGCCATTCATCCACATTTGAACAGAGTGGACAGTGAAATCCTGTAAATACAGACTGATAAGAAAGAAAGAAAAATCAAACCTGCTTTAAAACTCAGCAACACAGCTGTAGCTGTACAGCTTTACAACAGCAACACTGCTTTAACAAAAAAGCAAAACAGCAAGACGTATTTGACATCAAAACAAAAATTATAAAATGCTGTCTAATCGCTCTCGCGGTACTTTAATGTCACACACAGAACAGTCTGTTCAGTGCTGCTCCAAGTCCAACACTTATTGTGTTTTATTAGGAGACGCACAACAGTTCTTCTGCGGCTTTATAGGTAATATTTTCACTTACACAATTTAGCAAAATCAGACAATATTGTGTCTAATATATACCACAATATTAACTACTTATTATTGAATTGCTGTAAATAAATATCACATTTGCAACTGGTCAGTGCTCAACAAATACTGGGAAATCTCTTCATGTAGCCCTACAAGAGTGATTACTCATAAACGGTTTTAGAGAAGAAAAAAATCACCCACTGACTTTCAAAGCTGCTACATACAGTAGTAACGACTTTCTACTTCGAGGACCTTGATAGAAATGTAGTGGAGTGAAAAGTACAATATTTGTCTTTCAATTAAGTTAAAGTCACAAGTTCCCAGAAAAAATAATACTCAAGTAAAGTACAGTTACTCAAAAAGTGTACTTAAGTACAATACTCAAGTAAATGTACTTAGTTACTGTCCGCCTCTGTAAACAGCTAATACACAAATGATTACCGGTTTTCTGTCATCAATTTCTCCATTTCCTGCAACTGCCTGTCTTGTAAACATGTAAACATGAGCAGGTCTAAATCTAAATTCCACACACTTGGCGAATAAAGTTAATTCTGATAACGCTAATTCTGAAAACTCCGAAAGACCTACGACTGGATTCAGAAAGAAAGAAAGAAAGAAAGAAAGAAAGCATACTAAAAACTTTATAAGGCAGAACTATTAAGAGCACTAGCGATATGCTCCGAATAAGCGAGACCAGAGCGTGGAAGTGGAAGTATTATATTGACAACTTAAGTAGCTAGTTGATTAAAAATGTTGCCTTGAATTACGATAGAAGGATATGTTTGAACGTGCACGTGATACATTTAGGTGTTTTTCTTGCGCTACACGTGCTAAACAGCTGCTTCTTATAAATGGCTAATGCGAGTCTGAAGTCCGGCAGGGATTGTAGGTGGGGGGAGTGAATGTACCGTGCTCCCTTCCACCGTTGATACCACGACCGAGGTGCCCTTGAGCAAGGCACCGAACCCCCAACTGCTCCCCGGGCGCCGCAGCATAAATGTCTGCCCACTGCTCCGGTGTTCTGTGTGTGTGCACTTATTCCTGGTCTGGTAACCATACTTTCTTGCATTATGCCGTTACATTGATTATATATTCAGTGGCTTAAAATGACGATCTTATCGCAATTATTTCTGGGGTAGTATCGCACAACAAAAAGTTATGATATGCCTAGTCTGAGGACAATCGGGTGCTCTTGGGTCGAAGCGGTTGAGAACCACTGCAGTAAAATAATCCCAAATCCTCGTTAAACAGACATGTTCTAGAAGGAGCCCTTAAGAGGGGAAAAAATGAGATGGGTGTAAAAATCAATGCATAAGTTTTGCTAGATACATTTTTCCTCCCATACCAACTTGTAGTTCTCATTTCGACAGCCTACCAGTTTGATTTTGACCATCAGAAGTTGGTGTAGACTCACCGTATTGGTAGGCCTGTCACGATAACATTTTATTTTTATATTGCCCCAGAAATAATTGTGATAAGCGATTGTTTTTGTCATTTTAAAGACCATTGAATGAATGTGTGTGTGTGTGTGTGTGTGTGTGTGTGTGTATATATATATATATATATAAATAAATAACAACATAATGCAAGAAGGCCTACACTTCCAAATGTCAAATTTTTAAGAATATTTAGATCATGGAAATTAAGTATCAAAATATTAGGTACCTTAAAGATGAATAAATAGTAAATATACATTTTCTAACAAAAAGTGCAAAGTAACAAGTAGAAAAAAAGAAAGATGCACGTACTTGTATGGAGATTTTTCTATCTACAGATTTTTCCCTGACCTTTTCTCCGTAAATGAAGGGTGCACACTATTGCTGAAAAATGGTCACTACTTAAGTCAGATGTCCGTATGCACAAAGGCACAGATCCTTAAACAAGGCCATTTCTGCAGATTAATTTTTTTTATTTATTTTTTTTAAACTAGCACCTCACGACTACACGACGTTATGTATGAGAAGCTGCAAAAACGCAGCCACAAGTGGGATGTACAAAACATGGTGACATTTGTAAGTAAATATAATGGGTGCTATGTTGCTTCACCAAAAATGATTGAGGTCATGCACATATTGTGCGATAAGTCGATATATTGATTATTGCGACAGGCCTACGCATTGGTCATCATTATGAAGTGTATTGGGTTTTGGGCTGTAATTTGACAAACTTGTGTCTTGTAGACTCACAGTGGCTCAGTTTGGAGAGTGACCTGGGCCCATCCAGAGTTTGGACAGGTGTTGGCATCCTGCTCCTTTAATCGTACTGCTATAGTATGGGAGGAGATTGTTGGAGAGTCCAATGACAAACAACGAGGACAAAGCCACTGGGTGAGAGATACTTTCTAGTCTGGGCATTTGCCTTAAATCACTTCTCCCAAGTTGTCTCATAGAATAAGTTGGATTTGATTATGGTTCATACATGGTTGCGGAAGGAGGCTTCCTAAATAAGAGTAGCTACATAGCATGCTACCCTACTAAGTGTACGCTTCTGTGTCTAGTGCAATATATGAATTGGAAGTAATATCTGCCATGATTTTTTTTTGTCTAATCTTTGACTCCATTTGCTTGTACTGCCAGGAGTTAAGAAATGCTTATGTTGTAATGCAGTATACTGTGTGTATATTGCACAGAAAACAGTTATTCTATGCCGAACATAGCCTGTGTAGAACTTTGATACATCTTCTGTTCTCACATCAGATAAAGAGAACCACACTTGTGGACAGTCGGACATCTGCGACTGATGTGAAGTTTGCCCCAAAGCACATGGGCTTGATGCTGACCGCATGCTCTGCAGACGGTGTGGTGCGAATCTACGAGGCCCCTGACGTGATGAACCTGAGCCAGTGGTCCCTGCAGCACGAGATCTCATCCAAACTCTCCTGCTCCTGCATCTCCTGGAACCCTTCCAGGTGACAATTCACAAATGATAGTTGAACGCATCTATATGCGAGTAGATGTAAGCATGTACACCTATACTGTTGCAGAATTTACTTTGCAGATGTGTACAATTTGTAACTTTATATATCCTGTATCTGAAACTCTCAGATAATTGAGAGAAAGTTTGAAATAGACTTTTTACAGAAGGGTGAAACCTCTGTTCTCATTATGCTGAGTTCACACTGCACTATTTTAGCCCGATTTCACTCGCCGACAAATGACTGAAATTGGAGGCAAATTGGTGCTCGTTCACGCGAGTGATAATTCACACTGCGTGATTGTCAAAGACGAGATCTGAGGGAATCGCCGACACGTCGTAGACTCCCGTGAAATATTTGGCATGCTAAATATCTGGAGCTGTCGGCGATGCACACAGCGTGATTGTGAAATGATTTCTGACTGAACTACATCGGCAATGACCTACAGCCAATGAGAGACCAAGATACAGGGCAGAGGGAAGTTCGGGGAGGAGTTATAGACCAGAATATCAGTATTTTAATAGATATATGAACAATTATATCATACAGAAACGAGCACAAACATTTGCTTTACCAGCCACAGTATCAGCATAAGTTACAGCAAAATTATTTACCTCCAACTCTCTTTGCAGAACACCCAATCCCTGTTCCCTGCATCTCCCTCCTGCCTTCTATCTATCTATCTATCTATCTATCTATTATTTTGTTGTCTTCCAGTCTCGCTCGAGTCTGCAGACTCCGGTCTGACGCACGCGGGTTCTCGCGTTATTTCCTTATCACTTCTCGTGCGCATTTTGTTGTGAAACGTAGTTTGCGGACCAGACAGAGCTGTCGGCTCTTGTGTAGTCATGCAATATGTAACCTCCTGTCGCCGATCAATCGTGCAATGTGAACACGGCAGCAACTGAATGCTACCCCAGATAGTCACGCAGTGTGAAAACGATGGCGATCCGACTAGTTTGAAAATCATGCAGTGTGATTAGATATACACTGCATTAGACCTGTGATTGCAAATAGCACAGATATTTTACATGCTTGTCACCACTGAACAGTGAGATCAAACTTGATAACTTGGAAATGTTTTCCAACAGCTTCTTTTGGCTTTCAAGACATCTCGGACCATTTGAGACTTTATTGTCTTGGTAAACTGAATCAGTGGATGCACCTGCTTGATTAAAATATATTTTTTGTCTTCACAGTTCTCGAGCTCATGCACCTATGATTGCAGTGGGTAGTGATGACAGCAATGTGACGTATGGCGGCAAAGTTCAGGTATACGAGTATAACGAAGTTACAAGGTTTGCCTTCAGTTCCCTTTATCCTTTTATAGGCTAGTTCACACACCAAAAAAAATGTAAATATATATAGATGCAAGGAACATCAACATTTCTGAAGCTGGATTTAGAATGGTGGGAAACTATCATTGTCACACTGACCTAAGAAATACCATCAGTTAGCACAAACCTTTCACACATCTTTTTATATTTTAAATGTGTTTTAACCTTCAAGTGAATATTTTAATTTTTTTTTAAAAATTTTTTATGGTTGTAGGAAATATGCCAAAGCAGAGACACTGATGACAGTTACAGATGCTGTACATGATATTGCATTTGCTCCCAATCTGGGACGGTCTTTCCATGTACTTGCTATTGCCACCAAAGATGTGCGCATCTTCAAACTGGTTCCACTTCGGTGAGCAAAATGAAACCAAGTTATTATTACAGTAGAATGGGATCAATATAGGTCGTGTAGTGATGCCATGTATTTGTCTTTACTGTTTAACCTTGTACATCACTGCATCTATACTTTGAATTTGAATACATTTATTATTATTATAATCAATAATGTTAGGGTTCTTTTAATAATGCAAGCTTTTTCCCCCCAAATCTTACAATACAGAGATGTTAGATGCCAGTAGATTTACTTCATTTAGCTTGCCTTTTTTTGATTAACAGAAAGGACAGCTCTTCTTCAGCGCCCACTAAATTTGAGGTGCAGGTGCTGGCCCAGTTTGACAGTCATAACTCTCAGGTGTGGCGTGTCCGTTGGAACATCACCAGTACACTTCTGGCTTCCTCTGGTGACGATGGTTGTGTGAGACTTTGGAAAGGTGAGAGTTTGAAACGACAAACCGCGACTATATGCAACTACTGGAGTGATATATTAATTTATTGTAATTTGACTGTTTCACCAGCAAACTACATTGACAGTTGGAAATGCACGGGTATTCTAAAGGGAGATGGTAGTCTAGTATCGGGTCAGCTTGGTGCTCTGAGCGGCGTCCTGGGATCTGCTGCTGCACAGAGTGCTCTAAATGGGGCCACTGGAAGATAGCTGCTATATGATAAGACCACCCTGAGGAAATCTGGAGCTGAGCACTTCTATGATACTGGACTTCACACTGAGACCAACTGATTGTGCTTGCTGGACATGCAACGATACTGGCACTTAACACGGGTCCATTGTTAATATTATTTTAACTGCATTCAAGGAATGTTTTTAAGTTGACTTTTCTTTCAACCTATAGAATTATGTTTTACTCTGAACACAGACTGTTAAACGCACATGGCTTTGTGCCCATTTCAGAATTTTGTAATGAGTCCTGTTTAAATGGATGTTCTAATAAAGAAAAGACACCATGTCTGTGTAGGAGTATATTTTTTATTTCAATTGTTTTGTTGACGTGATAAAGGAAAAAAGATGCTGCCATTACAATGTTGCAAAATATTGGTCTAATTGAGTTCACGCTCTTGTTATTGTACGAGAATCAGAAAGGTTATTGTTTAAGCAACTGGGATATATGAAGTATTCAGAAATATTTGAGCTCGTTTTATTTGAGTCATGCATTTCTACTTCATTAGTAAAAGTACAGTAATCCTTGCTGGATTACTTTTGATAGATGATTTGAGTTGCATGTATGATCCAAAGTTTCTGTGAAGAAACGGGGGTAGTTGTATTAATACCATGGTGTTAAACACTTCAACAGAATTGTTTTCATGTACTTATGAAATTGCTGATTGAACATAGAAGTCTGATTGGGACTTAAAAGCTAGAAATGTTCTTAGCACCACAGTCAGTCTAATAATAGATCTTGTTCATATTTTAAAGTAGTGACATTCAAACATTTTCTTTATTATTATTTGGTTGAACAAGTAATGTTTTCTACAATTCTTGTAATTGTGCATGAGGACACACGTTTTGACCTGCACTCTGGATTTTTGTATATGGTCTTTAAATCAGAATAATTATTTATAGTCTATATTTTATATCATACAGTCCAAATGTGCCGTTTGGTGAATCAATGAACGTGTTTAGTAAGCAACTGTCATGTAGGGCTCCCACAGCTGCTCTTAGTCTCAGCTGCTCTGTGGATCACATTTTGGTGGGAAACTATCATTGTCACACTGACCTAAGAAATACCATCAATAATCACAAACCTTTCACACATCTTTTTATATTATAAATGTGTTTTAACCTTCAAGTGAATATTTTAATTTTTTTTTAAAAATTTTTTATGGTTGTAGGAAATATGCCAAAGCAGAGACACTGATGACAGTTACAGATGCTGTACATGATATTGCATTTGCTCCCAATCTGGGACGGTCTTTCCATGTACTTGCTATTGCCACCAAAGATGTGCGCATCTTCAAACTGGTTCCACTTCGGTGAGCAAAATGAAACCAAGTTATTATTACAGTAGAATGGGATCAATATAGGTCGTGTAGTGATGCCATGTATTTGTCTTTACTGTTTAACCTTGTACATCACTGCATCTATACTTTGAATTTGAATACATTTATTATTATTATAATCAATAATGTTAGGGTTCTTTTAATAATGCAAGCTTTTTCCCCCCAAATCTTACAATACAGAGATGTTAGATGCCAGTAGATTTACTTCATTTAGCTTGCCTTTTTTTGATTAACAGAAAGGACAGCTCTTCTTCAGCGCCCACTAAATTTGAGGTGCAGGTGCTGGCCCAGTTTGACAGTCATAACTCTCAGGTGTGGCGTGTCCGTTGGAACATCACCAGTACACTTCTGGCTTCCTCTGGTGACGATGGTTGTGTGAGACTTTGGAAAGGTGAGAGTTTGAAACGACAAACCGCGACTATATGCAACTACTGGAGTGATATATTAATTTATTGTAATTTGACTGTTTCACCAGCAAACTACATTGACAGTTGGAAATGCACGGGTATTCTAAAGGGAGATGGTAGTCTAGTATCGGGTCAGCTTGGTGCTCTGAGCGGCGTCCTGGGATCTGCTGCTGCACAGAGTGCTCTAAATGGGGCCACTGGAAGATAGCTGCTATATGATAAGACCACCCTGAGGAAATCTGGAGCTGAGCACTTCTATGATACTGGACTTCACACTGAGACCAACTGATTGTGCTTGCTGGACATGCAACGATACTGGCACTTAACACGGGTCCATTGTTAATATTATTTTAACTGCATTCAAGGAATGTTTTTAAGTTGACTTTTCTTTCAACCTATAGAATTATGTTTTACTCTGAACACAGACTGTTAAACGCACATGGCTTTGTGCCCATTTCAGAATTTTGTAATGAGTCCTGTTTAAATGGATGTTCTAATAAAGAAAAGACACCATGTCTGTGTAGGAGTATATTTTTTATTTCAATTGTTTTGTTGACGTGATAAAGGAAAAAAGATGCTGCCATTACAATGTTGCAAAATATTGGTCTAATTGAGTTCACGCTCTTGTTATTGTACGAGAATCAGAAAGGTTATTGTTTAAGCAACTGGGATATATGAAGTATTCAGAAATATTTGAGCTCGTTTTATTTGAGTCATGCATTTCTACTTCATTAGTAAAAGTACAGTAATCCTTGCTGGATTACTTTTGATAGATGATTTGAGTTGCATGTATGATCCAAAGTTTCTGTGAAGAAACGGGGGTAGTTGTATTAATACCATGGTGTTAAACACTTCAACAGAATTGTTTTCATGTACTTATGAAATTGCTGATTGAACATAGAAGTCTGATTGGGACTTAAAAGCTAGAAATGTTCTTAGCACCACAGTCAGTCTAATAATAGATCTTGTTCATATTTTAAAGTAGTGACATTCAAACATTTTCTTTATTATTATTTGGTTGAACAAGTAATGTTTTCTACAATTCTTGTAATTGTGCATGAGGACACACGTTTTGACCTGCACTCTGGATTTTTGTATATGGTCTTTAAATCAGAATAATTATTTATAGTCTATATTTTATATCATACAGTCCAAATGTGCCGTTTGGTGAATCAATGAACGTGTTTAGTAAGCAACTGTCATGTAGGGCTCCCACAGCTGCTCTTAGTCTCAGCTGCTCTGTGGATCACATTTCGCGATCTCCTAGTTTATATGGAACGTCATTTGTGATTACGAAAATATAATTATATAATCATTAAAAAAAGGGGGGCTTTAAAATGTTTGAATGTAAGATCTATAAAACCAAATGAAGTGCCTCGTGCATTCCGAATTTTTCTGCTCTATTATTAATTGCTGACTGTAAAGTATACATAAAGCAACACTATTTATAACCAGTTTATGAATTCATGTTTTGAACAAACAGTTTCTTCATTCGTTCAAAACAGACAGCAACATGATTGACACGTGATTTCGCCACTCTTTGAAAGTAGTCAGAAAGGATTGTCCAATGAAATTCGCCGTTATGTCGAAGCCCCGCCCATGCAAAGTGAAACTCAGAGGCGGGATTCTCCCGTAATGGCTTCACTTCATCTTTCAACTGTTCTCTAAAAGCGGGGAGGACGCTGTAACAGCAACGTTTTTTTTTTCTTTTTAGCATTTTACGGATTACCGGTGCTGTATTTGCATGAAGTAGTTGAATGAACTACGTTTATAAAGGCACAAGTGCCGCTTTTGCCCTTATGGTAAGTTGTCTTCGAAACGGATTCCTCTCAGCTGTTGCAAATCTTGTTCAGAGTTGTTGTCAGAGTTTAGTTTTCAGCCAACGACAGGCCCAAAAAAGTGAGTCTTATCCAGGGGTCGTTTCTTGTTTAAATTATGTTTAAGTGTTATTTTTGTCTTTGTTTAACTGTTTAAATTACATGGTTGAAGTGTTTGTTTCCTGGCCTTGATTAAGTTAGTCTCCATTGCACGGCGTTTATTTGAGTTAAACGGTCCGTTATCCTTATTTGTCCTTTATTTATTCAGTCCATTCAAAAATAGTGTCATCCTGCTTTCAGAGACATACTTCAGAGGTTAGTGTGCAGGTAAAGTTGTTGGTTATTGAACCGATAAAGCTAGTCTGCTAACTACAAACATCAGATGAAAGACGCTAATTCTGGAGAAGGAGACAGTCAAGTTCACAAGGTTGATGTAAATGTAATTATTATTCAGCTTAAAGTGTTCAAATGTACTTTGGCCTTTTCTGGTAATGATAAAGCTAAATGCAACAGGGGCTAGCTGCCATATTAACATATTTCAGCTCAATACGAGTTATTAAACATCGCGTTATGTCTGATTTGACACCGTGCAAGAAAAATAACATCCTCCAGCTTTTTATGAAGTTGACTTGATGCAGTCGTTTACAGATTCATGGCAGTCTTCTTGTCCGATAAACACCCAAGTACAGTATGACAGTGTAATGTATCACCGGTTTCCTATAGGAACTCATGATGTGGCCAGTTCACTCTGTGTCCTCTTCTGTTTTTTGTGTAGGTCACTCCTCATGTGGTGAAGCCCTGTGTCAGTGAATCACACAGACATGGAGAATGTCCAAAACATTGAGGATGAGCCGTTTCCCAGCTTCCTTTCAAACGCCTCGCTGGGCAGTAGCGGCCGCACCACTCTCGGCAACTTGACACTGGGCTCTACACTCGGGATCCCCATGGCCGCCTCTACCATGGCTAAAATTAGACCTCCAGTAGACAACAGGTGGGAGACTCCTGCATGTAATCTCATGAATATTGTGACTGTGTGTCTGTCCTAACTAGGCAAGAATGTTGACTTCCTCAGTTTCCTGTTTGGTGAATATTGTTGAATGTTTAGAACGGGGCCATTCCATCTCATTTGGTCCAAAAAATTATAAAGTTCGTTGCTTGCCAATTTTTATTTTCCTCCCTTTTGTAAAACACCAACGTTTTCATTCTTATTTTACTTGGTTTAACCACAGCGGCTATCTTTGTGTCGTGGCCCCCAACAAAGTTTTTGTATATAGACTATTTACAAAAACCTCAATATCTCATCTCAGGATGGTCTGAGCTCCTTGGAACAAGAACTGGTCTCTAATACACATTTACTGGAACAAATTTTAAAGATTTTACACATTCTTGTTTCTTAGAACTTAAAGGGTTAGTTCACCCAAAAATGAAAATTACCCCATGATTTACTTACCCTCAAGCCATCCTAGATGTATATGACTTTCTTCTTCCAGACGAATACAATCAGAGTTATATATTAAAAAAAAAACATCCTGGCTCTTTCAAGCTTTATAATGGGAGTGGATGGTAGCCCAAAATTTGAAGTCCAAAAATTGTTTCCCTCTCTCCTCTGCGCTTCCACGCTTGTCACTTCC